TGTGGTGAAATAGAGGCGGCCAACTCCTGGTGAAACTAATCGAGTGAGCTCAACAGCTGTGGGGGCTTGTCCTCCACACAACTGCCCAAGAACGACCCCCTGGCGCTATGCCGTATCATCGGAGCACCCAGGCAAAGGGGCGGAGAGCGGCTCCTTAAGGATCTCCGCACGCTCCGAGGAGGCCTCTGCTCGTTCAAGCAAGAACGGATACTATCACACTAGACCATATTACAGCCGAGCGCAGGACAACGTAGTTTTAGTGTGGTGGCTGATCATGTGCTAGATGCGGTGAGCATGGAACAGGGCTGCCCCCAAGCTGTACGGAATGCCGATGCCCAGGCGTCGTGGACCAAAGCCGTTACGTGCCAGCCGGCCTCGTGCTGCGCTTGCAATGACATGTCAAAGCACTCAAGTGAAAGATCCGTCTCTGTTTCTAGCATATCACGGAAACAGTTCTATTGCAGAGGTGGGTAGTCCTGCGATAGCAGTACGGAACATCGGGAATCTCCTGGAGAAGCTCCAAGTTCGAACACACAGCTTGCTCTAGCCAATAGACCCCAGCTTTCTGTCGCTCATTGGGACTGTCCAGGTGAACCACCGGATCACAGCTCCTGTGAAGAACGACGGACCGAAGGACCAGCTAGAAGCACAAGAGAACTGGCGACAGGTGTACCCTCTCACAACTCGACACAGCCAGATGAGGCCTCCCTGTTCTCAGTCAGATACAGAAGCATGCAAGCTCAACCATGCAATCTAAAAACAAATCCAGAGACTCGAATATCCCTCAACTACGGAATATACCTTCAACCATCTTCGGGATGCTACCACAGTTCAGACCCGACTCTGAGTACACTCCGAAAAGAACCCGGCAAGGAGGGACTGGGCCTCGAGGAGCTGGCAGCAGAGCTCCCGGCCCAGGAAGCCGGCGGCGCCTTTCTGCGCGAAGCCCGGGATTCCCCGAAGTCGACAGTAGCGGTGTTTCGTGCCGAAGGGAACTGTGCTGAATGGTCTGCAAGCTTTATGCAGCACCCTCTCCGAAGAGCTGGTCCCAGGGATTCCTCACAGAATCGCACTAGACGCGCAACGAAACGTCATCGTACTCCATCAAGATGAAACTGGCAATGCGACAGTGCGAGTTGTCAGCTGCTGCCCCAGGCTTAGCAGAGAATCAGCCGGCAGGCCTGTCACGAGGGCCCGCTGCTGCCTGCAAGGCTTATGCACACGGAAACGGTGCGCCTGCCTATGCCATCGGAGTTCCAGCCAAGCTGCGGTGGCACTGCAAAGTTCTCGAGGGCTCCTCGTGCGAAGAACCTAGGCATTGCTGTCGTAAGCGTCCTGCATGCCCTTTTGGAAGCTCAGCCCAGCAGCAGCGCCACCACCAAAGCCAGAGTCAAGCCCCTCGACCGTGCCATTGCAGGAGGGCGCCCCACCCCTCACAATCCGATCTTCTGGGTAATCATGGGGCTGCGAGCAGAAAGAAGAGAGAACTTCGGGCAGCATTCGTTTCTCAACCTACCAAATGTGACACTACGTTGATGTAGATGTCCACTATGTCTGGCTTTTCAATCGCACAGCTCTGCACAACTAGACCCTAAGCTGAACCGAAGACTTGCAGTCTGCGCCTGGGCCTGAGGTCGGCATGCAAGTTGCATCGAGCATCCATATGACAGAAATGCTAAGCCCATGACAGAAACCCGACATGCCCTAGACCACATCATAACCATGGCGGCAAAGATTGAAACATGTTGGCAACTGTCAGAAGATGGAAGGCCTGGCCCATCTCTTTAGGCAGACATGCCCCACTAAAAGGCGGTCACCAAGCGACCCGGACCCCGGCCCCGGCCCTGGAAGGCTCCTGAATCTCCCAGCGGCCGCTCTGGGCACCGCGGGCAACCGCCGAGCCGTGGCTGAAGGAGCCGTCCTCCGCACAGTCCGACAAACATCGCGGCGTCTTCCATCGATTTCAGCACCGCAGCCAGACGAGGAAACAAGATAAGGACCAAAAGCCAACAGCTCACCCTAGCTCTCTTGGAAGGTTCGTGGGCCTGGCATGCTCCCATCGGTTACGATTCAAGACTTCCCGGACTCTCAAAGAATCACGATCTTGCATGTACCGGCTCGGGCTCGGGTTTATATCCGAAATAATCTTAGGAGCGCTAGTTGGCTGTGGCAAGCAGAGCCTTTTTTCTGAGCAACGCACGACGCGCGTGCTGACATTTCGGCTATGACTATGTAAAGCTGTAGGCAGCCCAATTCCATCGCTGGAGACACGATATAAAGTCCACAGCGAAGCGCCTTCACAGAAATAGAAACATGAGAAAGGCCGAGCATTATCAACAGAGAGAGCTGTGAGCAGTACCCAGCATTGAGAGCCATCAAGTCCTGCTGGTTCCTGTATTCCATGTATTCCATGTCCAGCCAGCATGCGGCGGTTCTAGCCTCAGGCCAGTGGATTTTTTGGAGGCACAGGGTCCGCTCTGGGGATGCTGCTCTCGGCGACACGCTGGTGGCATCTGCTGCCGTGCTGGCTTGGGCTTCCGCGACGGAAGGCAGCATGGCATTTCTTGCAGCAGAAACCACCGAACTCGTCGATGGTGACAAAGAACTGACAGCCCTCATGGGCACATCTATACCTGAAGCTCTGCGATGGAGGCGGTTGCGAACAAGGCGGGCTAGTGTGAGGACCGCTCGCTGCTGGGCGTTGCCACGGCTGCCACGACAGCTGGTTCTTGGCCGCCTCGTACGCGTTGCACACGGCATCGTAGGCGCGTCGAGCCTTCGCCGCCAAAGCTGCATCCTGCGCAAGGGTGCTGGCTTTGTCGGGGTGCAACAAAAGCACCAAAGCTCGCTTTCTCTGATCCAGCTCTTTCGAAGTGTAGCCCACGTTCAACTCGAGCAACCGCATGAAGTTCGAGGCATCGGTTTTCGAGATCCTTGCCACCTCTGCTATCAACCTCTGCCTGCGGTCGTCTTCCTTTGCTCTCTGAGCCTCCTGCTTGCTTTGGCTTGCTGGGAAGGCCTCTTTCTGCGGAGGATCAGGAGGGTCCGGCTGGTTCTGTGGAGGATCAGCAGGTTCCGGCTGGTTCTGTGGCCGTGGCATGCGTGGAGATGGCGCTCCAACTCCGCCGCCGCCAGGCGTCTCGAATCTCAGGTTTTTCAGAAAGTCAGGTGTTGGCGGCCGCGGAGCTTCCGGTCCCAGCGAGCTGTCAAGCGGTGGCACCGCCTTGGGCGTCCACTCCAACTTGATCGGCTCAACATCCCCGACGTCCACGACCTCCGCCCCTCTGCTTCTCTCTCTCGCCATGGCAAACGAGGCCCACCGAAAGTCGAAACCGGATGTGTTTCGTGCAGATACCTTGCAATCCTACAGCATGAGTCATGAAGAGGCTGAGTCTGAGTCTAGATGCAGACTTTCAACGGTCTTCGGCACTACTCTTCGGCCTCCACGGCTTCAGGTCTGAAGAGAGAGCCGCGTTGCCGAGCCGTTCTTTTGTGCTTAGGCTTATATAGGCCTAGGGGCCTAGGTTCTGAAGTCGCTCAAACGTAGCGTTTCCAGCTGTACTGCGAGCTGCCAGGCTGCCCGAAGTGCCTCAAAAAAGAGTAAGTGGTCGCAGAAGTTGCGGTGGACCTGACCGGCGGGCTGGCTGCAACCGGGCCGTAGCAGCAGCTGCCCCTGCTTCTACCAGCGACCACGGACGTGGTTTCATCATTTGAGGCTGGAGGACCCATCAACGCAAAGATCACCTGGATCTGGCTGCTGGCGAGATGCAAGAAAGTAGATGGAAGACGGTGAGGGCGCAGACTCCTGACGTATCGCAAGGCCAACACAGACTGAACCGCACAGGCCCCAGTTACTTCCAAGCCTGCGCTTCCAATCCAGATGACGCAGAGGCTGCTGTGCGAGTCCTGAAAATTCTGCCAAGGTAGCTGCCCGGAGGCATGCATCCCCTCTCGTTCTCCCCTCTGCCTCGTGGGCACACCACGTGTCAGCCGGCAGCTTCGGGACATCTGGCCCTCAGAAACAGAGGAGCTTCAAGACACCGGTGGTGCAATCACTGATGCTAGATTCTGCTAGATGAAGCGGCTTGCCGAGGGCCGGGCCACACACCATGCCGACAGCGATAAGCCTGCATGGGGATACGGAAGCACGGACAGTCCACCGTCTCAAAGAGAGCAGCCAGGGCACGGAGCATGGAGAGGGCATCTGCTGGGGAATTCTGCCGAAGTCGAAGAGAGCCTGCGAAGCTGAATGGCAAAGCCTTCCCCTCAGCTCTTCTTGGGCACCTCGCCTTTTGGCTTAGTGAGAGATCTGGGTGTAATTGAATGCACTACACTTAAGAAACCTTCTTGCCTTCAAGCGAAATCAGGTGGCTCACAAGCGAGGCTCGGCTACTACTGCCACAACGGTGTACTGACAGCGCAGCACCATCCGAGAAATCAGAAACAACTCCCTAGAGGAATGCTTCCATGATCATCTTCAAAACCCTTTTGCTTGCAACCGCTCTGAAGCCGGTGGGGTGGATATTGCATCAGCAATATGAGGCCAAATTAAATCACAGTACTTTAACTATGTTTTCTCACGTGGGTTCATGGGGAATCCGAACCTGGGCCGTAGGCCGGTGCCACCGTGAGGCTGGAGGGGGCGAGCATCGCTTCGAGCCGAGAAAAGAGCGATTTGAAGACAGTAAAGATGATGATCACCATACTACCAAGTCTCCCTGGTCAATTATAACCATACTCCCATACTCATGTATGGAGTCGATCTTGACACAGCCGCCGCACAAGAATCCCACACACGTCGTGCATCAAATTTCCTGCTGGTAGGCAGAACCTCTGCCGAACCTTCTAGCAAAGCAGCAGCGCAAGCAACTGCAGAACAGCAATAGCAGTAACGTACATGTAGCTACAACAAAACACGAATTGATGATACGTCGCACGGATGCCTCAACGAACACGCCAGTGCATCACAATCCTGAGTAACCGTTAACGATACAAATGGCCTTCTCTGGCTCGGGATCAGATCCCCACCTGGCGCAGGCCCCGACTGCAAAGAGACATGGTGAAAGCTGCTTCCGCACACATGTCTAATCTACAGCCAGAAAGGTCGTTTGGATTCATGCTTGACGATCGACGACTTCATGCCGAAAGCTTCTGGTGAAGCTAACTCCACCTGTTGGCGGGACCGGAGGCTCTTTGTCCAAGCTGATCTTGACCTCGGGTGGCGCGGATGTGTCTGCTTCGGCTCGGGGGTCAAGATCCTGGCACATCGACCAGCTCCAAAACCGAAGCGAGTTTCAAGCATCCAAGCCCGCAAACGATGCCTTGCAGCTTCTTTCGAGAATAACAACCACAGCGGCCTACTACAGTAAAGCGCTTCCACAGACCTGAAGCTAGGGCCCACGGGCCCTCCATGGCGACCTCCGCATCCAGCACGGCTGAGGGTTCTGATTTGTCATGCGCTCAGACAAGCATGCAGCACACATGGGAAGGTTTTTTAAACGCATACAAGGTGGCCTAGTTTTGCATGCTGCAGTCGATGCAGCTGCGCACGAACCCCATAGGCTGAAACGGGCAGAAACCAACCAGACCGCTGGGACCCCGGCGCAGAAAACCGGGTCCCCTCGAGCAAGGCACGTGAGGATCTGGCCCTGGCAACATCATGAGCCGCGACGACTGAACCATCATTACTGGGGACCAAAAGCCGGCTGGTTGAGGCCTCAAGTGAAGGCTTGCTCCGGACAGCGACCCACCTGTACACCACCATCCACCTTGCACGGAGTCGGATGCCAGGGCTAAGCGAGGCCCCCCCAGCTGCAGTGTTTGCAAACGCAAGGGATGCTGAAACTGCCAAATCAACTGAAGCACACCAGGGCAAGAGTACCCCTGAGCTCAGGGCCAAGACATCAGAGCGCCACTCTGATGCGCACCATTTTGTCCTGAAAGATCGCTAACAGTAACAATTTAATTTGCTGCAAGCTTTTGGCTGGACGATGCTTGTGTGGCTGCCTGGTTAAGGAGTCACTGAGTAGACACCCGAAAACTGCTGAGCCACCTGGACCAGGGAACAAAGGCCCCAGCTCGTATCAGCCTTCGATGCAAGATGACGCCACCTCTGGACCAGGTGTTCCTGGAGTTTCGGAACACTGTTCACTGTTGTAGGGCTTTGAGCGTGGGCCGTGGAGCCACTAAGGTCTAAGGTGCACTGCTCGCAAGGAAGTTCTCAGCTGCGAACATCGAGCTCCAGGTTGAACCTCACAGGACTGACCCGGGCAAAACCTTGAACTACTTCCTAGTTCTGGACGCACTGCACTCGCGATCTTATTCCCTAGCTTTGCTTGAGATTACGATTCCTGCGCAATGCCCTCATACTATGTAGAACTACACGGGGGCATGGATGCATGGATACTGAGGGGTTTCGGCCATGGACTATGCAAACACCTACTCCAGCAGTAATCCTTGTTGGATTCCCACTGTGCCCCGGGTTACTTTCGCGGAGTAAGTTCCTGCAGAGCAAGGAAACGGCAGACCTATGTGACCTTCAATATGCCGCCCTACATTTCAATGATGATTCGTTTATGGACGTTTTCTTGCATCTTCTTGCGTAAGGTACCGTGACGTGCTAAGAGAGGAGGTCAGAGAGAAAGAGAGATAGATGTACAGAGAGGGAAAGAGGTAGATAGATAGATAAATAGACGGATAGACAGATGGTCGGTATAGACAGCTATGCTGCTACATAGATGGAAAGATGGATGGACGGATGGATAGATAGATAGACAGGTAGACCGATTCAGATGGTCGGTAGATAGCTTCAAACACACTGCTAGATACTGCTGGATAGAAGGCTGACAGATAGATAGAACGTAGATAGACTGATAAACAGACAAACGGGTAACAGATAGAAGAGATAGATGGATAGATAGCTATACATGCTGACTCTGTTTGTTGTTTCTTGTTCATGTTGATGCACGGCTGTTTGTTGTCAATTTAGAAGGTAAATTTTTGTTGCTTCATGCTTACTTAGCTTGTGCGTGTTCGCGCTATGCTTAACCCTTTGAGGAGGTGCCGGCTTTGTTGTTGCATGGCAAGCACCTCAGCGCCGGGGTTCTCGGACAAAGCTACGTATGCTCCAAACATCGGGAGGCCCCACATGGACCAAAAAGAATCAAAGCTCCCACTCAAGTCGACTGCTTGCACTGCTTACCAGGATCCTGGCTCTTCCCGTGCCGCATCGTCTCGAAAGTCGTCGACGCGCAGCTTTGCGTGTGCCTGGCGTGGCATGAAACAGGCACCATCCCTTCCTGTGGCAGGCATGGCTTCCAGTCAAGTGAATCATTCATTGGCGAGTTTACCTGCATTCAATGAACATCCGGCGATTCAAAGACAAGCCAACTGAAATGCTGGGAAACCCGAGTCAATGCCGAACCCTGCATGTGTTGCTTTTGTGCAGCCGTGCTGACAGATGCAGAAGCAGAACCATTGCCAGGACCGTGCAAGCTCACAGAATCGCAAGCACTGCCAATGCATTGACGGTCAGCTTCCATAACAATGCTCGATATGATGAAGCTAGGGCAGAGCCACTGTTAATTGAACATGTCGAGTACAAGCAGCATCTCTTCGTCATAGCTCGCTGAATGTGATGCCTGCTGTGCCGTGAGCAGTGCCGCAAATTGCAGTCGCTCGCAAGGGCTTTCTCAAATGATATCTGCTCTGTCAACAAGTCCAACATAGCTTCAACTCAAACGTGCGACAACAAAAGGAAGAATAGCGTTTCTTGCGCATTTCGACCAAGCTCTCTCAGGGGTAGTCGGAGATGCCATCCTGCGCATGTAGAAGACGTCTGCGAGCAGAAGGCTACAAAAGAATGGCACTGCGGCCCTGCCTATGCAGCGTTCCTTACATGCGGCCAGAGAAAAGCTCGTGCTGTACTCCATGCCAGACCCTTACAAGGAACCTCTATGAACATCCTCATGCAGCACATGTTGGGTGGCTCCTGCATAACCACCGGTCTTCTGTTGCCATAGTCTGATATTCAGCTTTACGGATTGGGTGGTGGGTTGAACCTTGGCACAGAATGTAGCAATTCCATCGAACAAGCCGGAGATGAGGCTGCGCCGAAGCTTCTAAGTTCTCCGCTCTGAGACATCGTGCCATTTACCCATCGAGAACTTGACGCCGCCTGGGTCCGTGCTAGTGGGCATGCGGACTGTCAGGGCCTAGAAGAGCTGCAAACTTACACGAAGCCCATCAGTTCGTAACAGACCGCTGAATGACCCAACGCCCACAGCCGCCCTTCCTCTACGTGCCCGCGTCTGCTCTCAATTTAAGGGCCCGGGCTATTGATCAGGCGCTGAGCCAGGGCTTCGCCGCAGGCTACGGCCGGGGTGAGCACGCCACCCTTGAAGGGCAGAGCCTTTCAAGGTCCAACGCTGATGCTAGTTCTATCTAGCACCTCCCGAGCTGTCATTCCCAGACTCCTGCATCAGAAACATCACACGGACAAGCAACAGTGAAGGGCAGTCAGCTACCACCGCAGGGCTCAATGTGGACTACCCAAAAGCACGCCGGTCCGTTATTGCACCCTTGGTTAGGCATCGGCGTCGGTGCACAATCTCGAAGCCGTTCGAGTTGAGATGAGCTTCTCGTGTATTCGCCGGCGTCTTTTCACCGTTGTCAAGTTTCACAAACACATAATCGCACGGCTGAGGCCGCAGGCGTTTGCCCGGAACGCACTACTCGGGAGACGGCAGAATTGAGATACCCAAGCACTTTGCACAGGTCAAGAATGCACACCTTTTCGCGACCAAGTAAGCCGTGCCTCTCTGTCGAAAACCAAGCACATTGCCTCCAGTCGGGAACATTTCGCAACAGCTGCAGCTAAGACAACAAAAGCACTACGTTCGCAGTTGTGAGTGGACAGTCGGCCATCAGGGAGACGCTAGACAGGTCTGTAGCCAAGCTGGCCAAGCTGCAGTTTCCACCGCGATTCGTGCTGTCTCAAAGTAGCCGTCTCGGCCAATGAAGTCGCACCTCACCTCGCCAGCCGCACGGCGCTGAGCTTGAACCGGGGCTGACCGCATCAGCTCTCAACAGTGAAGGATTTAGCGGATTGGGAAACTTGTCATTCAGCACTGGAGTTACTCTTTTTTAGCATCGACTGCTTGTGAAGCACGGAGCCTCGTGCCCCTTCTCTGTCTGTGCCCAGACAAACCACGCACTCCACGCGTCATCAAGCCTCGGTAAGCATGACTAACTGTGACTAACTGCTTGCTGTGCCCTGCCATTCCGAGCATATTTCCGCTGAACACAGTGTATCTTGGCCATAAGCATCGATACTGCGATGCGTTCCTTCTCTTACGGCAAGTGCGACCACCTACATATCCTACCTGCTCTTGCCTTCGCAAGAAATCCGCAGCCTTTGATGTTGAAGCGTCGGAGGGTTGCAAGCAAGAACCCAAGGTATAAATGCAAGCTACGTCCTTCACAATGACTTGAGGCTAGGCGGAGTCTTGCTGGCTGCGACGAAGAAGCTCCTCAAGGGGTGGGCCCTCGCCTGCTCCGTAGTAAACACCTCAGCAGTTCCGAGGCACGGGACTTGCCAAGGCTAAACTCGCCTTGAACACGTAAAGGCTGCCTCGGCCTACTTGTAAGCCTACACATGTCAAACCTTTAGACTCTATAACTGACCACTTCGGCATGTCCATACTACGATTTGCCTGCACCTCATGCCGAGAACGAACGCCACGACTTATCAGGAAAGTCGCCTTTGGCTTCCAATGCTTTCTTCTCCGCCTCCACACTGCCGCCGGCGCCGCCGCCGCCGCCACCTGTCGCATCTACTGCCGGATGCTTGGATGGATTCTTGGATGCATCGGCGCATCGATCTGGATTGCAAACTGTAGGGGCTCAGCTCCGACTCTTCGGGTGCCTCCACCTCCCTGCTTGCCCTGGAGAAGCATCTCCTGCCACACGTCAAGAAACTCAGCCTTCAGGTAACCTGGAGGCTCTTCGTCGGCTTGGCAATGCCACCAAGCGTCTGCTGGGAGGACTGAGAACTGCAGGAAGTTCAAGCTCTTGCCGTAAGGCTGGCCGCCCATGTCCGCCAGGAGCATGTTGGACCGGCGAACGATGCGTGTATCGAAATATGAATACCTCAGCAATGACTGCAAAGCTTCTCTCAAAAGGAGTCTCAGCTCCAGCCAGTACGAAACATTCTGTGGTTCCTTACATGTACATTCTCTGCGTGTTTCGTGTGCTCAGATGTTAGAACGAAAGAACAAGGCAGGTGTCAGCGCCAAGCCACACGTTTGGCCCTCGCCAGATGCCCAAGTGCTTGTCTTCCTACAGCATCCGTGATGAGATCGCATGCTGAATCAATCACTCCTCACACAGCCACAAACATGATTGCTGAAGCCGGGGCACGGAGATCTTGGACATGTTGGCATCCAAGTCCTCGGCACGCACCTTGGTCGTAACCGAGCCTGTCCCAAACTCGATGTTGCAGTACTTGATGCCGTGGCGGTCCCGGTCTGGCACAAAGCCGCCGAGGGCATAGGGGTCGCCCATCATCTTTCGGGTCTCGTCACCACCAGCAGCCATTGTGGCGCGAGTCTTCAGCGTACCTCCGGAGGCCGTAGCAATTGCACCGCCGCCGTTCACATAGCAAATGGCCTTCCTCAACTCCTCGTTGTAGTCCTCCCGAGCTTTCTTGGCACAGAGGAAGGTGCAAAGGTCCGGGAAGCCACCGGCAGAGGCTGCACTGGGGATGATGTAAGCACCGTTTTTCTGGGCGTGCTTATGCAGGGGTGTAATTCTGCGGGACCAAGGGATCTCTCCACTGATATCGCAGTAGTGCACTCCTTGGTCGGAGGGTATTGCAATGCGGTGACGGCATGCCACAGACATCAACAGACACTGCCCCTGAACCGAGCCAAGGATCCCATGGATATGCAGGCATCGATCATCAGCTCACCCTGAGTGAGCATGTAAGGCCCTGCGACGTTAATGATGCACCTGGCACTCTTGACGAGGTCGATCATGGAGTACGGATCATCGTAGGACATCTGAAAGACGGGGGTGTCCTGAACCACGCGTTCCGAAGCCCGCAGAGGTGCAACTTGCCTAACTAGCAGTCTCTCAAATAACTGCTGCCGCACCTCATAGGGAGTTCCCGCGAATTCACGATCGCGCAAGTCCTGCCTCGAAGCTGACTACAGACAACAGTGCGACTAGTTGGGCTCTCATGGCTCGGATGTTCTTGCTCTCAGGCCGCCCTGCTTCTGACAGCTTGTAAAGCCGAGATGCACTTTGCCAGGAGTTCGCCCAGCAAACGCGAAGGTGAAGTCTTCGGCGCTTTCTTGGCAAGCAAGGCGCAGGCCAGTGCAAGAGGCGGAAATCTTTGGGAAGATGGATGATGAAAAGCGTGTGCTCACATGTGGCATCTTAATTGCGGCCCCGAGCGACGCTTCAGTGACACACGCTTGAGGTACTCCATCATCCTCCGATGTCACACAAACAGCCGGTGCTGATGCCCCCAAGATTAACGGGACCAGAATTCAGCGCGCTTTGGACATGGTAGGGACACCTTCGAGTCTACTGAACTGTAAGCCGAGGCACAAATAGCCAGTGTAGCCCGACACTCCGTAGAAGACCAAGTCGTACTTCGTGCCATCCCAAGAGCTGCACCAGTCATAATTCCTCAGTCGCTTGGTTGGGTTAACAGGCAGTCTCCTGCACGGCGCTTGGTAAGCGAGAACTTCTCATCGTGCCGATGACCCAGGGACAAACACTTCGACCCGTTCCTGCCACGCATCTTGTACATGGGAAAGTACGTGTCGTACATCTTCTGCGCTTCCGCGTCGTTCTTGTCTTCATCCAACCTGCCAAGATGATGGCGGACGGTTCCAAAATTGTCAGGCTGCCACCACCACGTAGTGCAAGTGACCAAATTGAAACTGCCTACCCAAGCCATCGAGTCTCTCGAGCAGGCAGCTCGAAATGTGGAAGCAGCCGAAATTGCACTATAGGGCTACTAGAGGCCTACTACGACGTCTTTGTTGGGCTACTATGGGGGTTTCAGACATCTTGCCCCATCCAGTAACCTGGCATCTGCCCCGCCTGCGCTTCGCCGCTGCCAGAGGCTCATACTTCATCATAAACCTGGAGTGGAGCATGAAAGCAGCTAGCCTCCTCCGCCGGACTGCACCGCTTTACGAAACCTTGCTTTGTTTTTGCACAACTTTGGTACCGAACGCGGTTCTCTCGATTTGTGTTCTGCGGTCCTGTGGCTGAATTTGCTTCGTAGCAATGTACAAGCACGGCAGCAGGAATGAGCAGGCAGGTGCGCACACTTGGTACAGAGGGACCGAGGCAATACTGATATCGACGTGCAGAGCTGTCGCCTGGCTGTCGACGGTTGGACTGAGACTGTGCTAGTAGCAGCAGGCACATCGATGTCGCTGGCCCAGACATTATGAGCCGAACTAGACCAGTCGAGGTGCTCGTTTGAGAAGTACTTCTTCATGAAGGGTGGCTCAACTTCCTGACATCTCGTTTCTCAGCCCCAATTACAGTCGCAGTGGCCCGACATTGTCAGCACGAATGCAAGATCAAATCTACTTCACCAGCTTCTGGCACATCGGCAGATGAGGTCCTCGGAGGCATCATATGGCGCCATGTTGTCGGCTGCAAGAAACCGGGCTAAGTCAAGACCTCCTTAGTGTGTGCGTCCCACCTAGCAGGTCCGCACCAAATCAGTTTCCCTCGAGCTGGAAACGACCGCGGGGTGTGCAACTCCAAAGATGTGCCGGTTCAAGGCCACACCGACAATCGACATGAAGCTCTGAGGCACTGCAGGAAACTTGCATCCGAAAAGATCGGCACCCACAACATGACAGGCCGACGACGTTTTGGCTTGCCTTCATGAGGACCTGTGAGGCATGAAGCATCATGGAGTCTCTGGGAGGGGTGCTGTGTGGCCACGGTAACCACAGGCAAGGCCGCAACACAAGGCGAGGAAGCCAATCCAGGAATTGGTTCGGCTGATGCAAACCATGCCTACGGATCTTACATTACAAGTTCTTATATGCCATTGTCTGGTGTTCAGGTGCATATTCGTGTTCGTCCCATGACTCACATTGTTCCGAGGCTATGTTCCTGTCCCCCGATATTAGGTAAGCTGAACGACTGATGGGTGGGATACCCCGCCCCTCAGCTCGTGGTGGGCAACCCCTCGTCTGGTCCTCTAGACGGCTGCGACAAACCAGTAGTTGGGTCTCAGCTTTGTGCTAGAGGGTGCCCCGGAAGGAGCGTCCAGATTCATGTCTCAGGATACTTCACAAACTCTAGTTTCAGTGAAGCAGAGCGACATAAGTGCATGCACTTCCTTCCCAGGCTGCAGTACCTCAAGGTCTGTCGACACTTCAATCCTTTTTGGCACCGACATGGGCCGTGGGGCGGCTGTTCAATGATGTTCAATGTGAGGACGGCTTCTCACTTATCCTCCTGCAGGGCGTGCCGGGCAAAACGGTCTGTGTGAGCAGGCAGAATTCTGCATGCCAAGGTCGGAACATGAGACTCAGACCCTGCAAATGTGCACATGGGCTGTGACACTAGCTGGCGTGAGCTGCCCTTCACTGCGCTGTCTCCAGATGAAGCGCAGTGGCAGATTACGGGTCCTTCTTGATGAGGTACGTCAGGTGGCACTTGCCACAGTAGTAGCGATTGAAGTGCATAGCCATGAAGACTCCTCGTGCAAGGCCACGCAACCCAGAGAAACGAAGTTGAAGCAAAGCACATGCTGTTCTTTCTGCCGGTACGAGACCCAGGTGATTACGGATCTCGCCCTTCCTGGGCCACAGGTCTCATGAGGGCACTCTCGGCGCAAGCGGGTCACCTGTCATCGCAAGTCATGAAAGAACAACCCCTCGTCAGCACTAAACAACTTGTGCCAAGGCCTTGTCGTTGGAATCAACCTTGTAGAACTTCCTGAGTTCAGTGCTCTCAGCTCCAGGGAGTTCTCACGTACCCTGGCTCCCGCATAGCACGTCTGGCCATCCAAGCTATAGAAGTGCTGTGCCCCAAGGTGAAACCTCCCACAGCACGCAGTGGGTGGCCCCAACCCTCGGACTTGTTGCAACCGTAGTGATTCAAGCGGGGCAGGCTAACGAGAGAGCACGTGAGACATTGCATGTTACGGTGAGCCAGTGAAACAACGAAAGCAAGAAGTAATAGAACTTGTTGTACTTCTAAAGTTGGCTTGAAAGACCCTGTTGGAATAGGCATCTGCTCCCGCCTGACTGCCATCAAGATGCAACACTGCGAGCTTCACCTTCTTCCTCTTGTGCTTGATCTTCCTGACTGCATTCACTGAAACATCCACTCCCTTGAGAACCTGTCGAGTAGGGCTTGCCTGCCCAATGCCGTGCATCTAATCGGGAGCCGCCGACACAGTGACGCTACGACCACTGCGGCGGCTAAGTTTGCTTGTTTGTCAGTATCAACAAGGCCAGGCCACTTGGGCTTGGTGTACGTCTTCTTCTTGCGCTTCTTGCCGCCGCCTTCGAGGTCGAGATTGACGAAAAGGGTGGACTCCTGCATGGCATGCCCGAGAAGGCTGTGATCATTTGTGCAAACTGCAGCAACGACAACCTTTTTCAGCCCTGGCGCGTGATACATGTCATGTTGACACTACGCTAAGAGAAAAAACCGTGGTCGGAGGAACTACTGCCGCGGCTCAGATCCCCTGGCCGTTGCCAGTGTTGAAATCAATGATCTTCTTCCACTTGTTGCCATCAGGGAACACGATCCCGTCGCCCTCCCACTTTCCAACCACACCACTGGGCCCGCCCTTCTTGCTGAAATCGATGGTAATCTCGTCCGAGCCTGCCTTCCAGTCGACCTTGGCCGTCCACCTCGTGAGCACCTTCTTCTCGCACCCGGGGTTGCCATCGCCTCCGTCGACCATCAACTGTGCCTTCTCGTAAAGGTCATACTCGTACACGATCTTTCGAGGGCACATCGGGTGCTGAGGGTCGCTGTAGTAGCCCGTCCACTCGCCTGCTCCCGCCTTTGCCTGCGCGGGCTCTGCCGAGAGCGTCGCTGCAGCACCAGCCAGGCCCAGCAAGGCCTCACGCCGGCCTGCTCCTTGGCCTTCTGCGGGAGGCATCACGAAGGCTGCGGCCAGGTAGCACGCGCCGAGAGCTGCGGCGACAACGCCAGCTGCACATCGGGACTTTCGGACAGACTGTCGGGCCATGGCGACCTTGTACAGGTGCAGAAGGGTGCTCGAGGCTTCAAAAAGCTGCGGTGCATGCCTGGACTCACTGGACTAGCCAGCATCTAACCGACAGCAACCGCGGGCACTATGCAGCCTGGGCAAGGAAGGACACAAGACTGGAAGTGCAACTGCACCCACGGAGACAATCGCACAATCGGTTCCTCTTCCACACCACAGGCAGCCAGGAGCTCCTCGGACTGCAAAGACCTTGGTCACTCAAAAGATCCACAGAAGGGATCAGTAATTGCCGATACTTTCACCCACCCATGGCTTGAATCTGGGCTTCGCACCTTCCTCCAAAGATCAGCCGCTGCTCGCTGCAAGGCACACCCTCAACAAGACGAAGAACCAGCTCGGTCAGACACTTTGCACATGTTTGCGGTGACGTCCTTCCCGGGCTGACAACACAACTCACGACTCCAATCAGTGAGTGTGGTAGACATGTTACATATTAATCTACGAACACGACAACGTACGACGTGCAACCGGATCACACACACAGAACTCCCTACCCCATCTGCTGGATGACTTCGTCTGGGGCACCTCTGAAGACCAGCCTACTGGAATAACATTCCACAGCCATGTGCCTGGACTTCCTGAATCTGCAGCTGGACGTCGGCAACACTGGCAGCAGAAGCAACCTTCCGAAGCGACAGACCAAGTCTTCAAGAATGGTATGGCCGCATCAAAGGCCCATGCTCTAGAGGATATTTCGTGCTGTGACTGGCCCTGTTACACAAGCGCGGTTGCCTGCACAACGAGCTCGTGCCGAGTTAAGTTAACAGACTGGAAAACGTGGCTCTTAGGGTTTAACACAGAAGGTCTATGCACAGACTCCATGGCAGAAAGACTGAAGCTACACACTATGAGCCCGCTGCACCTCCACTGCGGAGGTCTCACCAGCTATGCCCCGGACAAAGAGCCGCATTGCGGCGACTGCCCTGCCTGCAGCAGTTTGTAGAACCCTTACCCATTTCAGCCAATAAAACCACCGGTCAACGCATGAGAAGAATGTTTCCTAAACTCACCCCTACATCTTACCAACTCTATCACCACTACGTCCCCATTACCAAGACCAGTATAGGAATAACCAATTGCCCATCCATATTCCGTAAGGCGGCATTATCATCCCGAAATGGGCAAGGGCCTCCCTCATGGATTTTACTAGGCTTAGTTTCATCAAAGGCTGTAATCAAAATGCACTCATGTTACAATGCCTCTTTTACAGTATGATGCATTGCCCGATTCAGTTTGCCAAACGAGATCTTTTCACTGGCTTGTTACTATTGAGATCCTTTACCTCATTGCTCATGGGAGTTTCATCTGTTACCTTGCTACCCTGCTTACTAAATATCATTTTAAAACAATTCTCAAGGGGCCCACCATTGAGCAGTCATTGCCGTGTATGGTTAAACACAGTAGCGATTTCTGAGGGCTTGTCATCTGGCCTTTTGTGTTGATGATTATGTGGGTGAGGTTTAGAAGGGGGGTGTGGGTGGTGGTACTCTTGATGGATTGCAGGTGGGATTCTGTTTGAGGGTAGGGGTCTTAGGTGAGACTTTGGAGGGGCGCCTGGGCGGGGTACCAGGTTTTGGGCTGAGTTGGCAGGCGATGGTAATATCACCGGGCTCTGCTAGCTCCTGCAGGGTGCAGGGGGCACATGTAAACCTTTGCACATGGCTTGTCATGGCCCCCAAGCCTGGCGAAGCCAGCAGGACCAAAATGCCACTGAGAACCGTAGCTGCAGCGAGAAGGTAACAGACTCTAGCAGACAACACTACGACCAGCCACAAAAGCCAATGCAGTACGATGGGAGCCAATGCAACTCGATGGCTAGCAATTTGACGAAAAACGCAACCCACACATAAAGCACATGTAAGCGATGTACATTGGCACCTGCACTGCCGACAAGATCGACTGTTGCAATACTGTAAGTTACCGACCCACAGAACCGTACTAGTAGCACATGTGCGATCCTTTGCATCTGTGTTCGTGTGTGTGTGCGTGGGGGGTTGACTCTGTGTGCGCGTGCGTGTTCTTCACGTGCTTGTTGGTTGATCTGCAGCTATCTACTGAGATGTTTCTCCCTTTTGATCGCGAGCTACCGAACTCCGCCGCTCGCTTACTTGATCGCGAGCTACCGAACTCCGCCGCTCGCTTACTTAAACACATGCTCGCTTACTTGGACTTGCGTGCATAGACCTACTTCGCTAGAAGGTTTCCTAGATTTAACTAACAAGTTACCTCGTGAGCTTCAAATGCACTACTATGATCGCATAAGGTGCAGAGCTCTCATGCTAGTTGCATGTGCCACAAACGCGACAGTAGCATGCGGTCCATGCTGCACCGACTGATGTTGTCGTGGCTCTTCACCCTTTTTGGATAGACCAGCTAAGCGAAGGTGAGGTACTAAAATGGCCTTTCCGACCATTGCTGCACAAAACAGACAAGCCCACGGCGTCGCCTCAATATGTCACGGTTGGCCCTGCCAAGTTGCTTCTGATAAATGATGGACCGGCTCAAGTTGGCGCGATGTTTTTTCGACTACTCTGGCTGAAGAAGCTCGCAGGCATGTCCGACAGTTCAGCATGGAAGGAAAGGGAAGAATCCCGCGGAGACTCAGCTCAACAGGCGGGACTCCGGTGCATTTGCTGCGGCGACAGAATGTGGATGCCCTAAGCTTCTGCTCACCGAACAACCAAGGGGCACAATCACCTACTGCGCCAGGAGGCCTGGCTGGCAAAAAGCGCCTCAGAGGATCACGCCGGCTTTGCGTGACCGACTCATGTCTTCAGCGGGGCTTTCTTTTCCTTATCCTGACACCAGGAGCACAAGCAGCGATTCGGGTGCTACTGTAACCACATTCACTCTCCCAATTTGTTTATGTTCATCCGTTTATCTTGCCGCTCCAGAAGGGATCTGCGCCTTCTTGCCGGAAGGATCCACCTGCGTGTTCCCTCCGGCCAAAGTTGTGCCTGTCTTCTTCCCGTGCCTCCACTGAAAAATCGATGTGGCCGGGCCCACGTGCTCCCAAACTTATCAGGAGAGTGGGAAGGTGCATCAATTCAGTGCCCAGCATTTTCTTCTGCTTCTCAGCCTTTTTGAGTCAGGCAGAAGCCGGGGCTCCAGAGCTGACAGTCTAAGCCTGAGCTGCTGAGCTGCTGGCTGCGGTGAGTTTTGTGATTTGCATCACATCCTCGTCCTGGAGCTCGTGCTTCAGGCCTCGTATGAAGGATGGCATCTTGGAGTTTGACGTGTTCCGTGTTCTGGCTGAGGAGCCAACCGCACACTTGCGGGGATGCGCGCACGCTGGAGCCCCACACCAGCGCGGACCTGCAGCAGCAGCAATGCAGCAGCACTGCAGATCCACGAAACGGGGCAGTGAACTTGGAAGCGGCAGTGGTCTCGTGAACGTCTGCATTTTTGGCAATGGAGCCGGCAGTCGTCGACGATGAGCATCCAAGAAGACAGCTTGGGGCCATGCTTGAACTCGTCCAGCAAACTCCTCAACTCTCACTGGCTGTCACGCACACCTCCGAATGGTCTCTTGGCATGATTATGTTTTTCTGTCAAGGTTTCCGTGGACAAGCAAAGCCTGTCTGCCCAACCGAGAATAGCGAGCACTCTGTCAAACACAAGTCGTCGGAGACCCGCCAAGAAGCTGCATGAATAGGATTGTCAAGCGTCTTGTGAAGCAGGCCGACGGCGTTCTCAACCGACATGGTCTTGTTGCCGCGCTGGCAAGTCAGAACTATCCTTGGCAAACACGGCGATTTTGACTTTTAACTCTCACACAGTCTCAAGAGTTGTGCACCTTAGGCCATAGGCCAACCCATGCTAAGCCTAGGACGGCTCTGTGAAATCGGGGAAAAGGCCCTGCAGACGGTGCAACAAGATGAGGACAAGCAGCTGCAACCTTGTTCATGTGTATTGAACATGGGCGAAGTTACGACATCTGTTCCAGCCATGGCTGCGCGTTCTGCTACTTTCAAGCCCACGATTCTCTCAACATCCACTGAATGCGAGGCCACGCCAGGGCTGAAACTAATTTCTCGAGGAGGGCGCTAGGCTCCATGCTTGCGGCGATAGAGTTTGTCAAAGGTCATCTGCGCCGGAGCCTATGGCCTATAGCAACCCTTCTGCCTCATAGGCTGATGAAGATGCCAACACTCCCGCGCCACCGGAAGACTAGCGCAGAACACCTACAGTACCGCCATTATCCCCGTGGCAAGGATGATTTAGCTCTCCGGTGCCTTCTTCTTGGTGTAGATTCGACGCAAGTCCAGCTCCTGGCACGCCCGTGCACCAATACTTCTCCATCCACGTGAAGGTGTCCAACGACTCTACACATCTGACGGTCTTAGTGGTGCATCCGGGCAGAAACAGATGCCTGCCAGATTCTTTCCAGCAAGCCATCCAAATTCAGCCTTAGCAGAACGGGCCAGACAGCACCACAAAACACTCTTACCGCAGTTTTTCTTCCGTTGGTTGGGCCCTCCCATCGCATCTTCTTCTCTTCTTCTGTCAAGTTAAGGGAAGGGTCAAGCCCGGCCCCGTGACCTGAAAGAAGCTCTGGCAGCCCAACCGGCACATTTCAATCGAAGTCCGGCCACCCCTTGCTGACGGAGATGACCACCGAGTAGGGCTGCCTCGCCAACTCCTCGACTTGACCTTGGGCACTCACCAAGGCGAGAGACGCGACGGCCAGCCAGCTGGGCCCAAGCAAACTTATGGACACTGCACTGCGGCTACCCCGCAGGCCTCTGCTGGCTTTGCTAGTGACTCCATCCACCCCCAACCAGAGGTTTGGGTTGAGGCTCCACTGTTCGCAAACAGCTCCGCTCCGCTTTCGCCTGAACCAGGTCGTAAGAAGCCAAAACCAGAGATACGGCCAGTGGCTGATGTTCAGCATGTCGATCTTGTTGTAGACCTGTAAGAAAACTTTGGCACAGGGAACTGCATCTTTTGATCACATCGTTCACCGTGGGCTTGAGCAAACCTGATGCCTGTGCGCCAACATATCTCACAGAGATCTGCTGTACCCTTTTTGCGGCCAGGCAGCGTAGAGGCACTTGCAGTACTGCCGTGGCGCCGTGCCGGTCTGGCATTCGGAAGATTTGCATTCAGGTGTCGAAGTATGAGGTTATGAAAAGCCAGATCTGGCATTTCAAACCCTGCGCTGCTCATCTCCGAGTCTCCGACTTACAGTACTCGACAATCTGCGGACACTGAGATTCTAGCAAGCCTTATGCAGGCTTAAAACGAATCCTATGCAAATCGGGTCCGACCTCCTCCAGCACGTCGATAAAGTCGTCAATCGTTGCATCTTCATTCCTTGAGAAACTGGAAAGCTGCACAAGATCCGAGCCGAGTGGTGAAACATCTTGCGGACCCTGGGTGAGGGGCACGATGATGTCCACGTTGAACATCTTGTACCTCTTGAGCTCACGGAAGACTGCTTCACGAGGAGGCTGTATATGGCTGTTGCATGCAGTGTGTTATTCATGGCATCAGCTGAGCCGACCACTGACGCAAGATCGAGAAGCAAACGTCCCCATTGAGCCTCGGGTGCTTAGAATGGCTACGCTCTCGCGCACCTCAACGTTAGCACTCGGAGATTCCGCCAAAACAAGCGGTGCAGCTGCCTTGACGCACCTTTTCTCGGGTAGCCGACAAGAAAATCTTGTGGAAAATCCAGAAATGCAAGCACAGTCCATCCAAGCTAGATCCCTAAGGCCCGCTCATCAGCCTCACGGCCTTCGAGTGCTGAAGCAGCACAGAAAATCGGAGAGATCGCAAGCGGAGAAGCGCAAGCGGAGAAAGGGAGCCCTGGGATGAACCTCCAAAGGAGCACAACCTGGAAGCAAAGCTCTGCAAGTCTCCTCAGGAGCTATACAGCCGCTTTCCGGACCCCGACACTTCTCTAGCTCTGATTTCACGCGCCGTGCAGGGGGCCGCAAGCTGAAAAGTCTGTGGCGCCTCCGCTTTGCCCTTGGCAAGGAAGGCCCACAAACGGCGCAAGGAGAACTGCGGCGCGGCTTCGAGCATGGAAGGCTTCAAGGGTAATCCTTCTCAGGATCTCTGGCTTTTCTGCATATCTACACGGCGCCCTTGCAACTCCTGGTTCGATCTGAATCGAAAAAACTCCAATTTTGTACATTCTCGCAGGAAGGGGCCCGGCAGACCCGATGTCAGCTTGCTGTGCAACTTTCCTGTCTGTTCTCTGCTGAAAATTTCTTAGCTACAGTAGCAGGGTGGGGCAAGGGTCCACAAGCCAGTTTCAGCAGATCTTTCAGCTAGTGCGCCTCATGGCCCACGTTGCATAAAGCAAGCTGACATCTGTTGCTTTGCCAGCAACTGTGCCGGATGCAATCGATGATAGTCCAGACTCTCGAGGTGGACACGGCTGTCATTCTTTGCACACAGGTCGTGGCTGTCTGCTCATGCATCTGAAGCATGGAATCTGTAGCTCTGAAGCCCGACAGCCGTCAAGCCACCTGTTATCAAGCAATCCCGCGTGGCCCGCGGAAGATAATGCCTGAGCAGGAATCTGGTGCATTCTGTGCGGACGTGGAAGGGGCAGCGTGCCTCGCTCATCTATTTGGCGTAAGTTGCTTCAAGTAGCCTGAGCGGGAGTCTGCAAGAGTGGGAGCCGTGCCTCTCACTGAGCTCGGCCTACGACGACTAAGGTTCTGTACTGCCTGGTGGTGGATCTGATGCACCGCACCATAATTACAAGGTAAATCCGTCAGCGCAAGGCAATCCAACAACCCATCTTGAAATGAAAACACCATAGCACAGCAACTGCCTTGAATGGAAATCTTCATTCAGCAAAGGTGCCTCTCACGTCTTCCTGCGAGCATGCAGGTGGGGTTAGCCCTGTCACATCCAACACTTCCGGAATGATATATATGATACGTTACTCAAGGGTATAGACTCTTGCTGACGACCGCATGGTTCGCAGCATTCTTCTCTTGCTTTCTCAAGCTTGCATAAGCTTCCTCAATCAAGGAACATGCTCGGGGCCATGCAAGTGTTCGCATGAACGCATGTGTGTGTGAGTGTGAGTGTGAGTGTGAGTGTGGGTGTGAGTGTGAGTGTGAGTGTGGGTGTGAGTGTGAGTGTGAGTGTGAGTGTGAGTGTGGGTGTGGGTGTGGGTGTGGGTGTGAGTGTGAGTGTGAGTGTGAGTGTGAGTGTGAGTGTGAGTGTGAGTGTGAGTGTGAGTGTGAGTGTGAGTGTGAGTGTGAGTGTGAGTGTGAGTGTGAAGTGTGAGTGTAAGTGTGAGTGTGTGAGTGTGAGTGTGAGTGTCTGTGTCTGTGTGTGTCTCTGTCTGTGTGTGTCTGCGTGTCTCTGCGTGTGTCTGCGTGTCTCCGCGTGTCTCTGCGTGTCTCTGCGTGTCTCTGCGTGTGTCTGCGTGTGTCTGCGTGTGTCTGCGTGTGTCTGCGTGTGTCTGCGTGTGTCTGCGTGTCTCTGCGTGTCTCTGCGTGTCTCTGCGTGTCTCTGCGTGTCTCTGCGTGTCTCTGCGTGTGTGTCTCTGCGTGTCTCTGCGTGTCTCTGCGTGTCTCTGCGTGTCTCTGCGTGTGTCTCTGCGTGTCTCTGCGTGTGTCTCTGCGTGTCTCTGCGTGTCCCTGCGTGTCTCTGCGCGTCTCTGCGTGTGTCTGCGTGTCTCTGCGTGTGTCTGCGTGTGTCTGCGTGTGTCTGCGTGTGTCTGCGTGTGTCTGCGTGTGTCTGCGTGTGTCTGCGTGTGTCCGGTCTGCATGTGTCTGCGTGCGTCTGCATGTGTCTGCGTGTGTCTGCGTGTGTCTTCGTGTGTCTGCGTGTGTCTGCGTGTCTGCGTGTGTCTGCGTGTGTCTGCGTGTGTCTGTGTGCGTCTGCGTGTGTCTGCGTGTGTCTGCGTGTGTCTGCGTGTGTCTGCGTGTGTCTGTGTGTGTCCGTGTGTCTGCGTGTGTCTGTGTGTCTGTGTGTGTGTGTGTGTCTGTGTGTGTGTGTGTCTGTTTGTGTCTGTGCGTGTCTATGTGTGTCTCTGTGTGTGTCGCTGTGTGTCTCTGTGTGTCTCTGTGTGTCTCTGTGTGTGTCTGTGTGTCTCTGTGTGTCTCTGCGTGTCTCTGTGTGTCTCTGTGTGTCTCTGTGTGTGTGTTTCTGTGTGTGTGTGTGTGTCTCTGTGAGTGTCTCATGTGTGTCTCTGTGTGTGTCTCTGTGTGTGTGTGTGTGTCTGCGTGTGTCTGTGTGTGTCTGTGTGTGTCTGTGTGTCTCGGTGTGTCTGTGTGTCTGTGTGTCTGTGTGTCTGTGTCTCTGTGTCTCTGTGTCTCTGTGTCTCTGTGTGTGTGTCTCTGCGTGTGTCTGTATGTATGCATGTATGTGTGTGTGTGTGTGTGTCTGTGTGTGTGTGTGTGTGGGTGCGTGTGTTCGTGTGTGCGTGTAAGGATGTGCGGTACGTGCCCTTCTAAGCTACATGTTTAGGTTTACGCTGCATGGAACATGCCAACATACGTGCTTCTTCAACCGCCGCAAGAGGAGGTCTCACGATGCGTCCGGCGGGGAATCAATGATTGTTCACCTCTGGCCTGCATATTGATTTCGGCATTCCGCGCAACTATTTGTCGAGGAAGGAAACCGATCTATTAGGACAAAGAAAGCAAGAACATGAACTTGGAAACCATAAGAAACAAATACAAACAGCCAAAACGCTTAATTCTCGTAGACGGTCGCTTCCCAATATTACAAGCGCTTCCTTCAGGCAAAAAGCCCAAAACCCCAGAGACGCTGCAGGAAGAAAAGGCAGGAATTGGTATTTAATCCATCGACGTCTTGCCATCGGTGTTCATTAACGTTTTCCATCAAACAAGGTTACCTGCATTTACCTGCCTATCTGATCTATCTACCTACGCACAACCCCACACGAATGCAAGAGCACCCGTACACAGATTCTCCATCTGAACTACACCATCATCTGCACCTTGCACTGGTGGCTTGGTGCTACACCAACAAAGCCCAAGAATGGGCGGAAGAGCCCCTCCCTCAGGAGCCCCTCCCTCAGTCCTGCAGCGTCGAGGTGATCTCCACCTGTTGAGCGCTGGACTCCTCGGCGCCCTCGGATGCCTCGCCTGCGATCGACATCAACCATCACTTCAACCATCCACTTCTGCAAGTGAAAACAAAAAACAGGCCACAAGACGACACGAACAATAACTTTTTTGACGGCAAATGCTACACGCAAATCCCATTCTGAGAAGTCAGCAGATCAAAGGAGATACTCTGTTCGGACCAGTGTGGCGATCAATGGTAGGGTTTAGAGCAAGAACTTGATCCACTTAGGTTCGTAAGGTGACAGAAGTCGAGCTCGGCATACTAGCGGAGCACGGCGAAATACAGGACAGGTGTCATATAACGTTAGCAGAACTGTGTGTTGAGTAAATGAAAAAAGCAACACTTCATCACAGAAGCAGGAGCTTGCCATAACTTGTAACCATATGACCATGTGTGTTCCTGCACGCATACAGGATCAAAATAATTACAAGGAAAACTGCACATGTAGCTGATGAGGCAATTGCAAAGTCAACTGCATATATACCTACAGGCATACTTCACATGCACAGAGACGGACGGACAAACAATGTTACGCATGAACGGACAGCATGAGCGATGCTGGCAACCATGTCGACAATGATCGCATCCTAGTCTGATATTACACACTGCTGACGGTACTCACTTCAATCGCGAAAACCAATCTTATGCAGAACAGGATGGCTACTCTCAAGTAGCAGCTACAGTTCTAGTGAAACAAAGCTTGCGACATGCAAGTGTTGCAGCATCTACGAAGAATGTGACGACCTATGGACTCTTCGAACGGATGCCTGCAATGATCTCTGTGTTCACGCAGTTCGGCTCTGACATGGCGGAAACCAGCAGCGCAGCCACATCTCCGCGAGAGATGGAGCGGACAGTCCTGAAATCGGGAATTTTGCTGGAAGAATGGATTTCTGGTCGCATCTTCTCCCCCCATGTCCGATAGATTGTAACGACGCTGCGTTTTTGCGGGCACCAAACCAGTTTCTGAACAGATGCCGAGCAGCTCAGAATGGAAGGAGAGATGCGGCCTCCCCACCCGGCTTGGACGGGTTCACAGTTCAGATCGTGCAGACATGCATGGAAACGATGCTTGCACCTGTTGATATTTCCTTCCTGCTGCCGACACCTTACATGTCATATCATTGCCCACATGGTGTGCCTTGTGTTTTGAACCAACTGTCAGACCCATCGATTTCCGGCCTATGCAGCGGAGCCTGGTTAAGCACGACCTCAGGGTCATGCTCAGAAGCAGCAGGGAAATCTCTTCAATGTGTGAGTCTGTGCGGACGACTGCAACATCAAACAATGCTAGTATCTTTCTCGCGCACACCTCATCTATGACAGAATCAGCAGATAACTTGGCATGAACCACAAGCACAGCAAAGCAGCAAGCAACGATGATTTTTCTATGCACTACTCGCATCTGCCCAATACTCTCAGGGTGCAAGTGTGCACACACGGTTGCACGCACGTGCGCAAGTGTAACTATGGGCATTCAATGGAAAGCTTCCGTTTTGCGAGCCGGCATGTATCGACACATTCGCGCATGATTGACCTGATTACAGATTAGTGTGGCAAAACACAGAAGCTTCATCAGCCAAAGGTTGCCCACCAAAGTTCGTGAGCGACATTTCAAGTCCAGGTGCTGGGAACTTGCCACCAGGATGATCGTTGAAGCCTTTGACTCGCAGGAGGCTGAAGGCCAAGCCACTGCCAATCACGGCCTGAACAGGACATGCAGCAACGCAAGAGAGAACATACCTCGCAGAGGGTGCACTGTAAGATCGGAGTCATCTTCTGTGCCTCAGCTCGAGTACAAAAGGCGCAACAGGACAAGCCTCGGCACCCGTCTTCGGCCGCGTCCAGAGGCCGTTGTACGGGCCCTCTCTGGGCCTCAATCAACCGTTGATATTTCAACAGCACTGGAGATTACTGGAGACATATCATCGGAATCATGTCTTCTGGAAACACACTACGCATGGTAAGCTAGCACATTTCAGGCAAGCTGGCCTGGCCTGTCTCCTGGATCAACAAAAGGCTGGTCTGCCTCTGCCTGCCGATGTGCACTCTCTATGCAAGCTGTCAACCAGAGAGTTTAACAAGTGCTGTCCATTTCAACTTCTGCTTCCGACCACGGGCCTCTTGCACTGTCGGCGCTACATCATCCAGGCGGCCGGCATACACCACCTCCAGCGCTGGAGCCAGTTTACACTCGCTAGCGGCATTGCTCCCTAAAGCTTCTGAGCCCTCGCTCGGAATCAGCCCAAGCGTACTCTCAGCACAGAAAGCTCTCTCACAGTCACAGTCTCCACAGGCCTGCGGCTCTTTCTGGAGGCGGAAGGCTCTGATGCCCTGCACGACTGTTATTTGCATCCACTGCAAAGGAACAATAAGCTCCACCGTTCTGCTTCCTCAACCGACCAGGAATAACAGAGGAATAACAGTCTCCCAAGGCGCACCTCGATCTTCAATGAGAAATAATTCATGCGGTCACCTGCGGAACCACGCAAAGCGCAAGCGGTTCACTGAAGCAATCTTACACTTCACCGGGCCATGACATGTTCCACCAGCAGGACATCTCATGGCATACCAAGCTTGAACATTGAACATCTTCTGGGGATGAAGTCTCTGCGCGCCAGCTCCCCAACAACAACGTCATCACATCATCCCTCAGCTTCATATTGTTCCAAATGGCCGTCAGTATGTGTATGGCGAAGCTTGCTCTGCACTCAAGTGGTTGGAAATGTCATGCTCCCTTCTGGCATGCCTGAATCACGTGGGTTTGTAAATCGTGCGATGGTCCTGCCCGAAACTCGTCGGGTTAAACATGCTTGACGCTGCAGCCTTGGTTGGAAAGATGTACAGGCCGCTCATAACAGCGTTGGGATGATAAGCTGATCTCATTTCGTCGTTGCGCTGGTCAATCAGAGTGGGTGCAAACGGGACATCGGCAGTGATGCTGCCTTGACTTCTAAGCTTTTGCCAACTGCGCGAGCACTGACGCAAGGTAGTGTGGCAATTTCGCATATGCGACCCTCTGCCTGACGGGCTTCCAGGTTGACCTGACCCTGACCCAACCTAACCCTCACTTCCGTCATCACCACCCTCACCTCAGCCGAGCAGGATCATCACGGACGTCGCGGTGACCAGTACGACTACTACTGATGTTGCTTCAGTCGGCCGTGCCACAGAGTGGTTAGCATTCGCATTCATGTCCTCAGCAGCGTCGACAACAAAAAAGTTTCCATCACTGGCGACGACTATCACTAACACCCATTACACTGGATGCTGAGTTGCTGAGCACACAGGACCATCGAGACTTGACTGATCATCTATATGCTGACAAAAACTGAGTGTAGCGATGTATGGTATGCTGCAAGCCTGCCACGACACAGACCGGTTCGCACCTTGCAGATTGAAAAACGCAATCGGTTTGGGATGCACCTTATGGGTGGAACCGTTTCTTTCCCATCAGAAGGGTAGCTGCTCCGCATAGAAATGCTTAACATCGCTTGTCTGTCACACTACCGCGTGTTTCTACAGATTGCATACATGCAGCATCTTTCTTTTTTTTGCAGTCTTTGTGCTCCTGACATGCTGCCCTCAAACCGAGAGGCGTGGCTTGACTTACCTCGGCGCAATCCACATTGCCAACGTGCCGCGCATGATCCGCGCTGCTACTCGGAGTGCTGCTGCTTCTGCTGCCTCGTTCCGCTACTACCACTACTACAACTACTACTACTACTACTACCACGACGACGACGACTAGTACTACTACTGCTACTACAAATACTACTACGACTGCTACTACTACTACTTCTACTACTACTACTACTACTACTACTACTACTACTACTACTACTACTACTACTACGACTACTACTACTTCTACTACTTCTACTACTTCTACTGCTACTACTACTGCTACTTCTACTACTTCTACTACTACCACCACTGCTACTGCTTCTATGAGTACTACTGCTGCTGGTACTGGTACTAGTCCTGGTACTAGTTACTAGTACTAGTACTAGTACTACTACTACTACTACTACTACCACCACTACTACTACCACCACCACCACTACCTCGACAACTTCCTGCTGCTTGCTGCTGCTGCCACCAACTGCTCAAGCCCGCACATCCCTGGCTGGAATGCAGAGCATCACGTTGAAAGAATTTTCCAGGGCCTCTGTACTGCACGGGAACGCCCTCGGTGCGGAAGGAAACACCCATCTGCACCACATCCTCTCGTCGGAGCTGAAACTCCTGCGAGGAAGTTTGCGGCGTCCCGTGCCGAGTTCAGGAAAAGACATATACCAGTGACATGTTCGCAACTGGCAACTTGCCCATTTCCAATAACGAAACTGCAAGCTGAGACGTATGGGGAGTTTAAGGAGTTTTGCCACCCATGGCTCGCAAAGTCAAGGTGCAACATGGAAACATGTGGAGCAAGCTTTTGGTTACGGCAGGTATGTTCACAGCTTTCACAAGTTCTTGATGTAAACCTGTCACTTGTTACACATCCCGGCACCCCGGTTTCAATCTGGGCTCGGGAAACACGGAAGCCTGGAGCCTGCGCAGCCGAGTATATCCACAAGGCAAGCTGTCCTCCGGGTCGTCAAGGGGCACACCATCCGCTCGAACCTATCGGTCCGAAGATGTCCGACATGTGCAGGCCAACGCCGACATTGGGTGCTTGAACTCTTTAAACTTTAGCCAGGTGGTGAGCTCACGAATTACGTAGTTCGACTTCTGTGTCTTGGCCGCATCTCCAAACACTCATGTCTCGAAACCACCGAGGGCGGGGCGGGCTTGAAGGCAGAGAAAGGCATTCGGAAGCTGCCTGGGAGGTTTCAGTTGCCAGCCAAACCCCAAGAAACGCGTTTGGACGGTGCCCAGCCCGTCTGCAACAGGCTCAACTCTCAATCTCGAAGCTTGAGATGTTAAAAACCGTAACCTCCAAAGCTCAACATAAAACAGAGACAGGTCCAATACGGCTGCCCAGTGACACCAGGAGCTAGCCTTGCCAGGCCGGGAACATGGAGCTGGAAGTGGGGATAAGGTGGGTAAAAATCGAAACCCATGAAGGGAGCCTATTGTAGTACCCTGATGATACGTAGTACCCTCAGGTTCCTGAGCAGCCCCATTATCATCAAAGTACACTCTTAACATGATCATACTCATGCTTAACACAGAGCTGCAAAACATGTAAAGCAGCAGCAAAACTGCGTGTGCACTAGTGGCAAAGGCAACGAAAGCAATGGCACGCAAAAACACACCGATGGAGACTTTACAATGATCACAGTCGGAGCCAGAGTAAGAAGAATGCAAGCTGGGAGTGTTACCATAATGGTGCAGTCGAAACAGGCAGCTTGGCATCGTCAACACGATTACAAGAACACGAGAGTACGACAGGACTTGAGCGAACGACAGCGAAAAGAACAACCTGCACAGCTGCAATGAGACCGGAGACCTGTAAGAAGAAACGGTGGTGGTGCCTAGTTCAGAGCAAACCTTTGCAGCAACGGCCACCCGAGGCAGATTCAAGCCGCCGCATGCGGCATCCCTGCGCCAGAAACCCCCTGCCTCGCACACGAAGTCGAACTCGAACTGAACCCGCGTCTGCTCCTGAAGAAACATAGAGCATCGAGGGTGTCAGAATATCTCGCAAACACACGCTCCACTCGGATCTTCCTGAGCAAATGCACAGGGGACATACAGCACATTGCACATGAGCCCAGGAGCGAAATCCGAGGTTCGCAAGAACCAGGAAAACCTTGGATTCTCGATGGCAATGCTGCGCAAGAAACTGTCACCGCAAGCTGTCGCCACACATCCGCGCTGATGGCGCCATGAGTTTGCGCAGCCCACTGTTGCCGAGTTGCTTGTTATTGACCGCTTGATTGTAGACTCTGATGATGAGCCCTCCGAACTTGGAGAAGTTCAGCTTCAGTCTTGGCGACCTGAGATGTGGCCGACTGCAGCAATGGCTATTTTCAAGTCTTGTAGTGGGCACGACTCTTTCTGTATGTACGCAAGTATCTGTGTATAGATGCATGTATATATGTACGTGTATATGTGTCAAACACATACATACATACATACATACATACATTATATGATATTATATGTTATGTACATATGTGTGTGTGTGTGCGTGTGTGTATGTATGTATGTACGTATATAATATATGTATGTACGTATGTATGTATGTGTGTGTGTGCGTGTCTGTATGCATGTATTTACGTATGTATGTATGTCCGTATGTCGGTATCTTTGCATGTGTGTATATGTTCTCCTGGCCCGACTTGCGTCGAAGGCAAAGGCAGGTTTTGGAGGGGCTGTCAGTCTTGACAAGATTGCACAGCCCAATCCATCCCTTCGCTTTGACAAGCTCATTTTCTGACCTGTGGAGCCTGTATGTTTCTCGGTCTACAGCTCGAGAAGAACACGACCTGTGTCAGATTCAGAGGCTAGAGAGCTGCCCCTGGGCGGTGTGTGTTTGACCAAATCTAAGTGGCTTTCCTGGCATGGAATCTGTACCCACCCTTCCATGCTCTGCAAGGCACCGGAGCTGGCATTGGCCCATGTCCTGTTGGGACTGCATGAAACTCGAGTCTTGGGCATGTACCAACCAATGCGCACGTTGACAAGATGCTGCTCAGGTTGTCATTGTAGGTTTGATTATGCAACCTTCGTGTGATAGCTCGGCTACAAGAGTTCACGATGACAGCACGAGGTCCAGGACATCGGCTTTACGCTTGAAGGTTCGAGCCGTTGAGTTGGCCATGCTCCGAGATATGACGATAGATTGAAAAAACCTGGGGTACTCTACGCACAATCAAGAGTCAGCCGGAATGCTAGGGAGGCGGAAACGCCCCGAAACTGTGCCGGATGGGCCTGCTCCCAGCGGATTGGAGTGACCCTGCAATTCACGGATTTTGCCGGCATCACGCGCGAATCCGTGGAGCATCAAGCGATCATCTCCACCCGATGTCTACGATTGGCACTCTTTTGGTGTCCAATCTCACTCGTCGTGACCACTGAGCATGCCAAACTAGAAGCAAAGCGAAACTACTAGAAAAGATCCGGCACTGCTCAGAAATGCAGACGCTATGTACATTAACAAACTTTAAGCTGCACCTGCCTCAGATTCGTCCGGGTTTGTGTTCGTTGGCCAGCCCTCACCGTGTTCTCTGAGGCTTGGGAAAGGCCGTGCTGGATCTTGCTCGCACGCACGAACTACTGCGCTGGTGGGCTGCAAGTCATGGCATGGAGCTGCCTGCAGACAGGGCATTGCACGGAATGTGGCTGGCACCTCCGTGCTCGGTGCTCGTACCAGGCCATTATACAGGCAGTGTGGAAGCTGTGGCTGCAGGGCAATTTGCTGCCCTGACCATGGATCCGCTCCAAGCAGACGGCACACGTTGCCTCGTTCTCGGTGTCCGAGACATCGTACCAAGCCTCACTTAGGGCAGAAAGCGAGAGCTCCGAAGGGCTGGCTTGCTCTAAAGCCCGCTGCACGGCGATGGCTGCGGACCTGCTTACCAGCGTAGCCACCAGGTGTTGCAGGTCAGACATTGGGCCATAGCCATAGTACCACAGGGACGTATGCAGCTTGAGCCGGAATGTGCGAAGGCCCAAGTCCCAATCGTCACAGGAGCAGTGCTCAGCAGCTCAGTATCCCGAAGCCCGGCCTCGAAGAATTGGCCAACGAAGAGAGCTTCTCCAAACCTGCGGTAAGTCGGTAACGGGGAGGTCCGGGTGCTCTCCAAACACGGAATCTGAAATGCACAGCCACTACCTGTGCCATAAAGTCTTAAGGGGAGTGTTCTTGATGTGCTGAATGAGGCCCTCGCGAGTCGCGCGTCCAGCCTGCAAGGGCGAACAAGCTGCTTAAGATCCCTGTAGGAGTTCGGTCGGACTTTCAATCGCCAACCGTTGATTCAAATCTCTCAGTCGGAACATGCCACCTCAACCGATTCAGAGTATAGCGATCCTGTCGGTGTCACCAGGCTGCTACCGCCAGGCCTGCACGCTGGATACCATAACACCTGCAAGCTCTGGAGAACAATACACAAGGGTTCAGGTGGCCATTCAGGGTCGACCAAGCCAGGAACCAGCAGGACACCGTGACTAGATAGAGAGTGTAGCAGCTAAACGCAGCAGTAGCAACTGACTCGTCGAAGGCAAGCTCGAGCAACGCAAACATGGTCAGGCGATGTCAGGCAAGCTCGAGAGCAAAAACCGAGAAAACACAGAGAGCCCATCTTCTGGCATGTGCCTGGCCACAATGCGAACTTTTTCGATTATATGCACTATATTTATTGATTCTCATCAGCCCCCTAGAAGTGCGATAGGCATTCTGGGAAAGACCGACACATACCACCTACGGGACAGCCCTTCATAGTCAAGCTAGGCGACATGTCGGAGGGGTACTGCCGCTCCAGATCCCAGAGCTCGAAATCTGTCTGCCGATCGAAGTTGAAGACCTGCACCTCGGTGCTCGCAATTTAAAGGAGCATCAACCAAGAGTATTGTTGCACGAGGTACGTTCATAGGCTTGAAGTCTCACTGATTGCGAAGCCTATTTGAGACTATGCTTCTCGCATGAAGCCAAAGAAAAAGAAAAGCAACTTCGAAGAAGCGCGCCTTGCTGCTGAAAGCCTTCTGCTTCTCCGCAAAGTCCTGCCACGCCCAAAGAGGCGGGAAGCTCTTCGGGAGAGTGCCCCGGCCAACCGCCAATGAACATCCTGCGCCCTGTACCCATCTGTACCCTTGCTAGGCCGAGCCTGGCGGTAGATTTGCCATGATCGAAGCACATTGCTCACCACCTCACGAAGAAAGCGCTCAACAGGCTGCTGACCAAAGGTCCAGATTCGAAACACCATACAAAACCAGGAAACACGGACTGAAAGCTCTATGGAATGGCACGTACGATATAGGCCTCGCCAAATTCCTCGTTGGGCTCGTCGCAGTCGCAGATGACAAGCTTGTCCACCCCCGCGACCTGAGTGCCGGGGAGAGGCAAAGAGGTGGGCCTCGCAAAGGAGACAGGTGGGTCACCGCAGCCTTTCAACTTCGTTCCAGTTTTGCTCCTCAATGAGGTGAGCGGCTGCGTCGTAAAGGCTGTCCGGGACTGTTCCGATCGGACCTGCCAAGTCACGGCCACTGAGCTAACATGATCCGAACAAAACTCCTCCAATACGTTTCCTCAAAACCAGCCCCAAATATAGGTATGTCCCCCGAAGCCACAATCTGCAGTTGATCCGAGGCGACCTCCGGGGTTGCTGCGAGTACCAGGGAAGCCACGCGTCTGAGCCGTCACCTCGGAGATGCCCCGGGGCTTCACGTCGAGGCTGGAGAGGCTCGGGAACGCTCACAAGGAGTCAGTAGTCACCGGATTTTGGGCTTCCCAACATCACGATGGCGAAACTGAAACTCTTGCTTCCTGTCCGTTTGGTCATGACAGGTTCAAGAATTTCCTATCGAATGCTACTACGGATCTAAGACTGCAAAGCCGGATCTCTGTTTCGCACACCAACCCCAACGACCAGCCAGGCAAGCAAGTCCCAGAAAGTGCTTCTGAGCAGCCGTAAGGTAGCTGGTGCCTTCTGACAGTTCGCTTCCTGAATTGATCGCTGGCTCTCCATAGGCTGGAAGGCTCTAGAACACCGAGAGTGAAGCTTCTCGCCTATTCGGCCATACCCCTCTCACTGCGCCAAGGCTCCCAGGGATTCCTCGTTGTCGCCACTCTTGAGGACCACGCAAGGGTACCCGCTAGTCACAAGCTTCCTGTGGACAATGGACGTCAGGCAGAATTTCCGTGTAAATTTGAGCCCCCAGAACGGCCGGCCTCAGCACAACCTGCCCCGTCTCGCTCTCAGCACCAACCACGAGCACGACTGGGTACTCGTCGACCTCCATGTCCGTAAACAAGGTCCTTGGGCCGCCCAGGCTCCGACAGCGCACCGCACCGCAGCACACACCCGAGTACCCTCCCCCCACCATCCCCCCCTATCAGCGGAGCAAGCGCCCCCCGGGCTTCCCGCTGCTCCAGGCCCTGGAGGCGCGCCGCCTCCGCTTCGGCCGACTCCTCCGTAGGTGATCTCTAAAAACTTACAAGGTCGTGCTTGAGGCTTGAGCTACCACTTTCTGGCTCAGTAGTTTAAGCGGATATCGCAACCGACTTTACATCAATGCCGCATCCGAAGTGTGTGTCGCAGATGCCTCCGGCCGCCGCTGCAGCGCACGCAGAGTCTGCGGTCACGAGATGATGTCATAAACATGAACTTCAGGTTTTGGAGTTCGGGCTGGAGGTTTCTTGGTCGCTTCAGTCTTCATCCGCACCACCCCTTCGCCATGCACGCGGAACCCGCGAACCTTGTCCAGCTCCATACGTCGGGATCTACCTGCCTGGCGCAGACCGTTGCAAGTGAAGGCAGTGCGAGTTCAACGATCCTTGTTGGGTTTGTCCAGAGCCTAATCCCCGCACACCGGACCGTGAACTACATGGCAGGACCTTGAAGAAAAAGGTCTGCTGTGCCAGGCCGAACCTTAGGACGGGAAGTGCAGCTCAGTAGGGGCCCAAGCATGAGTGAAGGCATGAGTTAGGGCAGAGTTGCGTTTCTTAAAGACTGAGGTGCTAAGGTTATAAATGCCTATCCCCTTCGCGAAAGTCCGAACCAACTGCTCGTCGGAACGACCAGGACAGCAACATGAAGCCCGATCTCGAGCTGTTCGATTGGCAATGGCTGCTTACACCTTCTGTTGTAGCGACTTTTTTGTGCTCTTGTAGCGGATTCAGACCATCCCAGAAACTCTTTTGCCAGAGACGACAGGCTCATGGTGGCTCCAAGCGACAGGAAAGCTGCCAGTCCAGCAGCAGGCCCAAAGCTTTCCAAGAAGGAAGGGCGATACTCCTGGCGTAAAAACCCACTGCATCTTGCGATCTTGCTGCTGGGCTACTGGCTGCTAACGCAATGACTTCCAAATCACCGAAGTGGTCCCAAGGGCGCCGGGACGGGAGGCGCCTGCTCGGACTCGTCGTCAGTCGCCCCACCCCGGAAGCCCTTGCTTCCTGGGTCTGCCTTTGGCCCTCGGACGAGCTCCACCTGACGCGGCGGTGAGCTGTGGTGAGCTGTGTGCTCTTCTGAACTCTTCTGTGCGGCCGCCCGGCCTCGATGTAGAGTCGCTTGCCCGACTGCGGCAGCCGGTACACCGCGCCTGTGAGGCGCAGTGTGCTGCACATGTTCTTCCATGTCCATCCTTGACCACCGGCAGATACCCTGCCTCGGTCCTTCATTCCCGGCCAGCTCTCCCCTTTCAGCACGGTCAGCCAGCCCGGAGGGACTTGCTTGCAAGCCTGGCCCCGGATACAAAGAAGCGGTCACCAAGCTGTGCGTTGCCAGCGGCTGGCCAGCGAGCAGAGCAGCGAAGCGAAGCTGTGAAATGGACGTGGGCCCCTTGCCTGGGATGCATTGACACCAGACTTGGCCAAGCTGGCAGCCCAGGCCTGCCAAAAAGGAAAAAGGACCATTCCGTGCGACGCTAGCAAAGCTGAGCTCGGGCCTGTGAGTCCATCCGCCGGATCTGCTCGGCGGAAAGCAGCTGCTCGGCAGAGACCTTGGCAAGGGCTTCCGGAATGCCGGTACACCTCTGCTCGCACAACGGATCTGGCCTGGAGACTCTGCTCTTGCAATTGCAGCTACATCGTGGGAACACGGGAGTTTAGCACAGAGACTGGTGAAATGCATTCTTCAACAACCTTGCAGCAGGGAAGTGTGGGGTCTGTTGTAGGTCGAGCCCTTTGTCGGGAGACATCACGATGTGCAAGGCCTGTTGAGGCAAGGAGCCTTCTCACGGTCGACCAGCTGCTGGGGAATGAACTCCAGCATTTCCTCAGTTGAACTTGGGCGACCCCGAACACGAACTCGGCCAAATAGGCCGTTGCTCCAGCACAAGCCATGCATTTGTACGCAGGGGTACTTCCCAACAATGGCCGGCACGGTGTTGGCCCTCAGAACGCAAAATAGCAGACGCGAGCTGAGTGAGAGAAGCATGCCCCTATGTTGCCACTGGACGTCACTCGGCCTGGATGTTGCCCTGGGCTCTCTTCTCTCCGGCTTCCTTTGTCGATCACATGCTGCGTCCAAGTTTCTCCAGCCAGGAGCAAGACAGCTCGCAGTGATGTGTCCGGAGTAGGGGCCTCATGAGAGACCCGATTCTCCCGAGCGAGGACGCTTGCTGCCCATGGACTTGGGTTGCGGTCGGGAGCATCCTTCACAAAGTTGCGACATTGCAAAGCAAGAAACTAGCGTAGCCCCTCCAATTACCTTGAGTTGGAATGAGGAAAGGCTCACACCTAGCACAGTTGCAAGAAATCAGTGGAAATTTCAGAACCACCTCGGCATGTCACCCAAATGCCACGCTTTCAAGTGCAAGACGGCAAGGAGTTTAACGCACTCCTGCCCATAAACCTCTCATGTCTGCGACTGCTTCCCTGCAAGAAGAACATGGACCCACTCCGACCCTTGCCATTGCAAAACAACTCCGCATAGTGCCGCTGCCTCCAACTTGTCGTCTGTGCAGGCCAGGCGCCACCTGGCAGTCACTTGTAGCTCTGTGGCTCCGCAGTTCCGTTCTGACATCACTTGCTGTGGCACCTCCCCGCTACAGTACCCTTCACCTATTGGCGAGGTTGCCAATTCCCGGCCTTAGCTGTGTGGAATTCGTCGTGGCGTGCACCGCCCACATGACGGCGAGCACCTTCAACATCTCGCAGCTGATCTAGTTCGACTCTCTCCCTTTCGGCTTTACAGCTTTGCTCCCGGCCCGATGCTTCGCAAGACTTCGCACGAAAGCACGGGCTAATGGGACTTGCTTGGACTGGCTCTCCACTTCGGATAATCGCGGCCATCGCCAGCCTGCTGCACCGTTTCACGGATCAGCTGCCTGTTCTCCTCAAGTGGCCAAAGCAAAGTGCGAAATCTTGGGTGGTTATAACCTGCAAGTTCTCGGGGGGGCATGCCATATATCATGCTCTAGGATCTAGGTTCGTTGCACTTACAGGCTGCCCTCATCTGTCCAAACTCTCTGCTCCCTTGCCAAACCTCGGTCAGCATGGACGCCGGGAGCTCTGCCAGGATCTCACGGAGGACTCGGGCACCGCTGCCATCCTGTGTGTGAGGCAACAGGCTTGGAACGCAAAACCATATCAAGGCGCCCCTCATATCCCCTCATGCTGCTTGGCCACTCGAGGCACTGCTTACAATAAGACGTATGCTGCAGGATCCGCTTCGCCTCTGCCAAACGTGCAAGGTCTTCCTCGCTGCGCTGGAAGCGCCGCCTTGGGGGACGCAGCCCGACGGTGCAAGGCGCAACGGTTAGAGCTTAGAAGAAGACTTTGAGAGTCTCTGCCAGTGCGCTAAAGCAGGCGGAAGCGGACACAGCACTGGGGGCATCTGGCTGACACGGCGTTCACGCCGGAAGCTGCATGCCAAGCGTCTGCATCGCCTGTAGCACTCTCTCATCCTGGAGATCTTGCTTGAGCTCCTGCGGCTGTGGAACTGGGCCGTGCTTCTTTCGAGGCGAGATGCACGATGATGTCGACATTCCATCCACTCGTGTTTGGCATCAGCGGGGAGGGGTGTGTTGGCGTGCTTGGGTGCATCTAGGAATTCCAACACGGAAGCTGTGAGTAGCGAGGCGGCTCAAAAAGCAAATACCCAAGAGCCTCGTCCGTCGGCAACTCATCCAAGGGTGCTTCCCAATCCTTGGGCAGCGGAATCTCAGGTGGCCCATTTGTTGACATGAGGCCTGAAATGATGCCGTGTAGTGCTGTGGCTTGTCAAGGCGGAATCCCCAAGCATAGCGCTCTACGTGCCGGCTTGCGAGTCACAGCTCCACAAGCTTCTGTCACTGCGTGTGCCCACCGTCCATATGCAGAGTAAGGATAACGGTTCTGCTTCTTCTTCTTAGCCGTCGTAAAACAGGGGGTGAACACTTCTGCACTGCCCAATGTATGTCACAATGCGCACACCCCTGATTTCTCACGGCCGGCCGTTTCCTAGTAAACACAAGAATGTCAGGCCGAAATAAGGCTCCAGTTTCTGGTCAGCGTACAGACGAGTCAGGAAATCGCTGGCCCCAGCCCCGAGAGCACCCTGCGAGTCTCAGAACCTACACGTACTCCATGAAGGGCCCATGTCAATGTGACCCCGTGGCTTTGGAGGCCGAAGCTGCCGGCTCCATGGGATCCAGATCCTCGGGGGTCGCAGCCAGACCCGCGATGTCGAAGAGGGGCAGCTCCTTTCTGTCGCTCTCTTTGCCCGATGTCCGTGACATGGCGCCTTCTTCAGAGACTCGCCTCCGTGTCGTAAGGCTCTGCCACATCTGTTCTGCTCCATCAACGACACAGAGCCAGCAGACGTGCCCTCAGCATCCACCCACTCTCTCGGTCCTCGAGCTTCGCTTGCCAAGCCTGGCAGACAGGGCTTTGAAGTTCGTTCCCCCTCAGTCGTGCAAAGACTTGCTTGGTACAGTATGCTGGCAATTTGGTTTCGGGTGCACACGAATGGATCAGCCCCTCCTTGCTCATTCTGTCCGTCTGTTCTCTGCGACTCACCAGCGCCACATCCACGTCTGGATTCGGCACCACGTGACCTCAGCCATGGAAGCCGCTCTATGTGACCACCATACACCGGCTTCCGAGACAGAGCATACGGACGTTTTGCATGATCTGTGCGGCCACGCGGCGCAGGGCGGCAGAGAAGGGCACCGTCGTGAAACCCTGATCTTTGCCTCAAATGTCAGAAAACTGCAAGCGGCTGGTTATTCTGGCAGCTGAAGCCTTACAACTACAACTCACATCCCCCTCTGCCAGGCTGCCCTTCTTGATCCATCTCCTCAGATGTCGAAAACTCAACTGTCAAGCCATAACAAAACTTGCATCGATACGGAGGCCTCATGGCAAGGCTTCGGCCCAGATCCTGGGAGCGGAATCCGCAGTCCGCCGGCTACTGAGCTACTGCAGCGTTCCTTCCCTTTCGTCCACTCTCCCGCCTGCCGCGACAGACGAGAGAACCTCTGGGCGACGTTGTAGAGCACAGGGGTCACAACGCCGGACTCCTGCCGCCAGTGTGGCTGAAGCCCAAGAACATTAGCTTCATGCTGACGCCGATGGACACCGGATGGAAACCACTGCCAGGCTGCCCCCTCTCCCTTTCCCTGCTCTTCTGTGCTGCGAGGCGCCTGTTCCTCCAATTCCTCCATCTGCCGTATCTTTTCGGCACGTTCCTTCCGCCAGGAAGAGACGGGCTTTGCTCTGGCGAGATGGGGCTAGAGGATGCAACAATCTGCAACGACTGCTTTCTTGGAGAGCTCCAAATCTGACAAGCTGCGACAGCATCTAGCTCCGAAGATCACAATATGGACTTGTGTGCCCGTCTGCGCACCTCTCTTGCCCTGATAACGCCAAACCGCACTCAGCTTCTAGAAACAATCCATCCTCAGCCTGTCGTCGCCTTTCCTCCGCCTCCTGAGTCGAGGCTGTCATTTCTTGAATCATCGCGACTTTGATTCCCAAGCAAGCAGAACATCTCCCCGAGATTCCCAGGTTGTCCCCCAGGCACCATGTCGGACATCATAGAAACAAGGAACGTAGCCTGGAAACATCACTCGAAAAAGCTCTGGTATCAGGGATTTGCGATCCTCCGACCCTCCCAGTCGAACCGAATTCATGGCCTCAAGACCTGTTATCACCTTGCCTTGCTGCTGCCTTCTTCATGTGTTCGCCATCATCACACTACTACACAAGTTTCGAAGCAAGTCAAGTCCCAAGACTGATGTGAGTGTGCGCTCGCCTCCTCTTCCTCTTCAGTCTGCTTACGGCGACCACGCTTGGGTGCGACTATGTTCTTGATGTCTTCCTCAGGTAGCACACTGTCTTGGAGCATGTCAGGTCTGATCTCACTGCCTGCAGACTTCAAAGCCCTCACTTCCGGCCCTACGCCGCTCGGACCTGTTGGACACATGCACCAGCTTCTGATGGGAGCTGGTGATTATCAGGAAGACGCTCCCGTACACGAAAGAAACGCTCCACAGCCAGCCCTGCAGGTGTTATTAGCTCCATAGGAGCAGCCCCGAACTGGGTCTCGCACGTTGAACTGCAGTCCGCTTCTCGGAGTCTTCGCTGGTGAAGGCTGTGCATGCAGGCCCGTGAACGCCGCTGCCTATCCACAGACATGGGTTCGCCAGGGCAGATTGGGGTGCTATATCAGATTAGGAACTCCGGCAAAGGCTGCAAAGACATGTCAACACTGAGTGCACTGCGCTAGACGTGTGATGCTGACTGATGCTGGCGGATGCTTGCAGCCCCAGGAACGCCAGACAACGCGGCAAGCAGTGCCAAGAGCGCCAGTGGCACTGCTGCACCGCGGAGGGCTCTGCCTAAGAACTCAACCCTCAAGGAAGCGAAACCATGACCCTTGTATACAACTACAATCAGGCAGCTGATCAGGGGTCAGTCCCCATGTCTGGGGCTTACGGAATCATGCAAAAAAAAACATACAAAAAACTGCCTTTCCAGGTTCCAGCAATAAACCACTGGCCACAGGGGAAGCTGAGATAGGCTTAGCTCCTGACCTCTGGCTCCCGCAATTGCCTCGCAGGTGATACAAAAGATACAAAAGCGCAGCTGCCTTCACGGGACGCCCTTCGCAGAAGACCCTGGACCCTGATGCCCCACAGGTCACAGCGCGGACTTTCTTTGCGTCAGTCCATGAGCTCCAGAAACCGCCCGCTCTCAGCGGCTGCGGGCTGAGGCCCAGGGTCCTGCGGCATCACATCAACTGAAAATCTCCGAACGTCGGAGCTGTCACGCCCACTGATTGAAAGGTGTCCTCGAAGCGGCGAGGGAATGTCTTTTGAAGCCGCGCCGCCTGAAGGCAGTCGGTTTGCAGGCCGCGCTATGTGCTTTGCTGGCGCATTCGGATTCGGTGTACCAGGGAGAGGCAAAGGGGGCTGACGGGAGTCGAGCAGAGCCGAGCATTTGTGCCTCTCTCGCCATCTCGGGCGGGCGGCGGGGTCCGAACGCACGGCCTCGGCTCTTGGAGGACGGCTCATCCTGTTCGCTTTTGAAAGACTTCGGGACGAAGGGTCTACCTTGCCAGGATTGCAGCTCGAACTTCCGAAGAAACACCTGTCGCATGAATTCATCACCTCATCGAAACCCATCTCAATCTCGCAAAAGAAGCCCGCGAAACCTAAAACCCTGTCATAGCCCGGGAACGGCTCTTCGACGCTGCAGGCTCGGAAGCCTTGCAGGGCTAGTAGTTCAGGGCTTGCAAGTGTCTCGCTGCGCTCTGTAGGAGTTGGAGTTCTTGAACATCGAGGACCGAAGCAGACGCTGGCCTTGAGGGTTTCAGCGCTGACCTCGGGGGCACTTGAGATTACCACTTGGCCAAATTAACACCTCGTCCAACCGCTGGATCCCACAACCGAATCAAGCGGCCCATTCACTGATGAGCACGCACTGGGCAGGTGCGTCGCAGCCACGGCCTCCCACGAAAGCAACAAACCCTTGGGGTCAGGCCACACGTTGCCCTGCAAAGGCGTCAACACTGAGACTGCGGCAGATGGGGCACAGACGCAGGCCCCGTCCATCCTTCAACAGATGGCATTCATTGATTACGTGCAGGCAGGCTTAGACCCCGTGGTGTCTTCCAAAACCACAAACCACACACTCCAAAAACGGTCTTTCGTTCTCCGGTTCCTCCTCGACTCGCCGACGGCAGGGGCCACAGAAAGGACCATGGCCGCAAGGCGATGCCAAGAAGTCGCCCCCGACACAACGTCCCTCAGTGCAATTCAGAGATGCTCACTCCCAGGCGTTCTCTTTCTTTCGGCCAGGGCGCAGAGCATTGGCAGCAGGTAGAGCCCTCACAGCCGGCCTGGAGCAAACAGCGAAAGCAAAGGCCCAAGACTTGCACTTGTCGCTGTCGTTCGGATGTCTGAGTGTTTCCCCCACTGCAGTCACAAATGGCTATAGACTAGAGACTCTAACCCGAATTGCTCCAGCAAGCTGCCGGACTTGCCGTCTTCGCGCTCTGACCTGGCAGGCATAAGTTCTTCATAGTTCTTACAACTGCTGGCCACGTGTTGTTGCAAAAATTCGAGCTGCAGCTCACGAAGTAGCGTCCTGGCCTGCGATTCTTGGACTGGCTGTGGGCTTCTGACGGCCCCTCGCAGGTCGGAGTGCTTGCGAGGGCTGTAAATGTGTTTTGCTTCGAGGCTTTCAGGCTTAGAGCTTCCCGAATGTCGGCGAGCAGAAGGCATCAGCCTTGGCATAATCCGCACGGCACAACCCAGCAGGTCACCAACATATCGGCTCTGCACCTTGTCTTCGCCGCACGTTCGATCTGTGCTTTCCTGAGAAGTGGCTGTGCATTCAAGGCGCTGGGTGCATGATCATGCTTCTCTGGGTGCCGATGACAACAAACCGACTGCTTGTGCCGTGGCTCAAGTCTTGTCCCAGCTCCGAAGCATCGTAACCTGAGCCGGCATCAAGGAGGCTAGGCTGCAGAAAATGCGCTTCCGCCTTCATGATGCCTTCGTCTTGTGGAGTTTACTGTGAGGACGAGCTCCGGTGTAACATCGTGGGGTAAAGGAAGTTCTGTGGATCAGCGCTGAATTCGCATTCTGAATTCTGCCAGGCGACGGCTAACACGGTCGAAGGAGGCGCGGATCAGGCTATCCCCGGGATCCAAGGAGAAGGCGGAGGCGTAGGCAAAGTAGGCTTCCCTGTGGCAGCTTGGCAGGTCTGACATGCAGGGGGAAGTGGTGACCTTTTGCTTTCAACCTCTGACAACGCCGCGATCCAGGTGAGGCTCCGCAGGTTCGAAGCTTAGTCGGTGTGACAACTAGAACCGATCCAGCCTAAGCACTTCCGGAGCCTATCTGTCCTGCTTAGGCCCAGCCTTAGGTCATGAGTAAAACCAAAATGTGAAATAGACATCACAAACAGGGCTCCAGAACTGCAGGCGCTCCGTTGTGAAACTGAGTGGAAACAGGTTGTCTTACTCTAGTCATTCCGGGGGCCCTTCAGCCACAACAGCACAACTTGACTGCGACATTGCAACTACTCCCACTGATACTTCAATCCACTGCTCTGCCGACTTCTTCCAGTGATATCTCAGAGACCTTGCCCTTCCGCACAGAATTGACCACCTTCAGCTGCGTTCCCGGTGCAAGCAGACTCTCCTTCTCGTTCCCGTAGAATGTTATCTCAGAGATATCAGCGGCTGTCTTGGTCTTAACTGTGAGCAGTGTGCAAGCACTGCCACAGCCCTTCATGAAGTTCTTGGCCACCTGCTGGTCCGACGTGCAGCTGCTGACACCCCACCATGTGATGGTGGATCCAACTGCATACTGGTCGTAGAGATCCACACCAATACCCCGCCACAAAGTCCGCGTCTTCTGTGGCAGGCGATTCAGTGCTTCAAAGAGCAGCCTCAGGTACGGTTTGTACTTTTTGATCTTATTCCGATCCTCACTTCGCAAAGCTGCATTTAATTGCTTGTAGATCGCATTCGAGGTGTACAGCATAATGGCACCATAGAGGTGGGATTCCATCGCCTTGGAAGGACCGCCGCTTTGCTTCTCCTGGTGCTTCTTTCCACGTGCCATCGAGCTCTTGATACTGCCGGCGGGGCAGATTCCAGAACAAGCCGTTTCCAAGTCTTTCGGAAGGGGCAGGGACATAACTCCACTGATTGGAAGGAGGCCATCGTCCTCCGCCTGCACCTCCTCGAAGCCCATGCGGAGGTAGAACTTCAGAAGCTCCTCTTCTGCTTCGAGCATCGCTGACGTTTTGATGGCAGGAGGCACCTTGAAGCCGAAGTCATGTGGAATCAAAGTGTAGTACTCCGAGGAGAGGTCTGTCAGCTGCTTGTCATTCTTTTTTGCAAGGGCAGTCTCGATTCGCTGAAGAACTTCCTGACCCTTCTCGATCTGATTCTCTGTGAGCTTGCCAAGGGGCGCTGAATCGCCACCTCCATCTCCCTCTTGCTCCTCCGTGTCTACCAGCGTGTACTTGCCCACTATTGGCTTCCAGTCGTGGGCGTCCTTCATGTCGTAGTGCACACCGGACTTGTCTTTGAACTTCGACTTGAACATGGCCTGAGCTGACTCCTCACTCGGGCAGGGACTTAGATTGTGCTGTCCGGTTGCGCCGACACGTCCCCAGCGGGTCCAACAGTAATACTTGGACTTCGTGTCTTCGAGGACTTGTATCCTGTAGAATTTGTTGTTGTTGGCACCAACATTCGTCTGGTTCAGCAGCACAGACCAGTCGCCAGCCACCGAAAAGGTATCCCGATTTGGGACCGCAGCATCCACCGGACGTGATGTCTTGGCCTTTTTCGCTGGAGATGGTGATGCTTCAGCCGGTTTCGTCACCTTCACCGGCGAGGCAGGAGGCTTCTCGGGCGCTTTCCTCTTGGCTCCCTTCTTCTCCTCTTCAGGGGGTTCTTCCGCCTCCGCTTCCTCATCTTCCTCCTCTGCTTCCTCTTCTTCCCCTTCAGCCTCTGCGCCCTCTTCTTCATTGAAGACGTCTTGCACATCTTCGTGGGCCACTTCTTCTGGTGTCTTTCCATCCTTCGTCTTGACGTTTCGATCGGCACCCATCTTCAGTAGATACCTCACGGCCTCCACATCACCCTTCTCTGCAAACTGGTGAAGGGCTGACCATCTACCGGCTGGCTGCGCATTGATCAGCTCCGGGTTTTCCTCCAGCATGTCCTTCACCGCCTTCAGGTCATACTCCTTAGCCTTGTCCAAAAACTCGTGCTGCTTGGCAGCTGGTGGAACGGCCTTCCGTTTCGGCGCTGCCTTCGCCTTCTCTTTCGGGACGGCTTTACTTTTGGGACCTGCCTTCTCCTTCGGGGCGGCTTTGGCTTTCCCTTTCGGAGCCCTGGCCTTGGCTTCCGGTTTCGCCTTCGCCTTTGGTCCACGTGCCGGCTTGGAGCCCGAAGCTTTGGCCTTGGCCTTAGGGACCCCGCCGCCGCCCGGGGCCTTCTCGAGCACGGCTGCTTGGTCGTCCTCTTCGAGACCATCGAAGCCATCGACGCTGTCCAGGGAGCCCACCTTTGAAATGATGTTTGCCACCTGCTTGTCGGTCACGCATGCAAGGCAGCGGTAGCTCACCATCGTGTGGTCTCCGACTTCACTGCTCACTCCGAGCCTCACAGCTCCCTTGGCGATCTTCTCTCCACATTTACCCTTGCAGGTTGCCCGGTTTGTTGGAGCATAGCTCCACCCGTAAGTCGACATGTCAAGAACGCTATCACGCTATCTGGCTTGTCTACAGTAGTGGCCCGTGGAGGACTTGACCGCGGAAGTGCCCTGGTGTTATCGCTTGGATTGTGAGGATTCTCTGCAACCGATGTGTAACACGTGCATGTACAAACTTTCAGCGGTTGGCCGTACAGGATTGCTCATCTCAGCTTCCCGAGGAGTTTACTCCTGTGCTTGAGCCAGCATGAAACGTGCGCAGACGGAGAAGCTGTCTCATGAAAAAGCACTGGTATCGCACCTGCTGCGATCCGAACACCACTCTTGCTTCATGTATGACACGCTGCGAGGCCCACCTGAACCGCTCCAAGG